GTCCTGACATTACTGTTGTCCATATCCCACAACTAGATCACACTTTTCTAGTCCTCTTTCCAAATTTTGTCATCTCTGTCTCCCTAGCACCTCCTCCCTAAGATCTGAGAATCACACCGTGGCCAGTTTCTTTGTGCCATTGACTGCACGATTCTTTTTTTTTTTTTTTTTCTAAATTCTGTCAGGACTCTATCACCCTCCTTAAGCCTGAATCTATGAGAGCCCATACCAGGAATCTGGCAATTTGAAAACTGATGGTTGTTTTTTTAAAAAAAGCAAGAGAGGCAAAGTCTCATGTGTCCACCAGATTCCAGACAAGTCTGTGTGATTCGGTTGAGGACACTGACTAGAACATGTTGGTTCCTTTCCAGGTCCAGTCTCTCCCTCATCAGGCAAATTTCCCATGCCCATACTCCTATGGTTTCCAGATTATTAGGGCTGTTGTGATAGCAGCCTGTGCTTCAGATCATTAGCCACTTGCTCCGTAAACGGAATCCTTTAGCTAAATATAACCAGGAGCCTCTGGTCGTTTGCACTAATTGTGTTGAGTTGCTTTGTTAAGGTACATAACAGAAGAAGTTACCAGAGTATACATATGAAGGCCATAATTTTCCTGTTTGTCCAAGACAGTAAGCAATTTGTGCATTGTTCACCAGGCTTATTCAGCTGTCAGCTAAATAAGCTGCCTGGTCAGGGGGTCCTGTTCCAATGAGAAGCCCACAGCTGGGCAGCATTCAGTTACAGACTCTTCTGCTGAGAGATGAGCAGCAGAGGAGAGGCTCCGTCTTTAGCTTGAGAATCCAATCACATGATGATCTAGGGGGTGAAGCCAAGTAGGAAGAAATTGATCAGATTGCCACAAGTCTATAGTAGGTGGGTCATCCCAGAACCTTTAGAAACAGGACATACAGCCTCATCCCTCAGCTCTTCCATGAGGTGAAGAAATTGAGAATTTCCCCAAATAGCTTTTTCTTCTTTGATGCCCAGCCATTTTGACCAGACCAGTGGTTTTCTGACAAGTTTGGCACATGGACTCAAGTAATGTTGCAGGATCATAAATGAAAAGGCAAAATACCCACAGACAAATTCTATGAACTGAGGAGGAGGATCCTTATAGTCAGTCAGTCTTACAGCTCTACTCCATGTCACCTAAATGTCAGCCATATTTGGATGGCTGCAATTACAGCTAAGTAATGTAGTGCTTTCTTCTCATGCACAGTGGCCTAGGTTTAAGCCTAGCACTGAAAAAATATTATAATAATTATTATTATTTATAAATGTAGCAGAGTAAAAAGCACATTTACTCTAATAACCTGGATAAGAAGAGAAAAAATGGAAAGGATTTCAGATTTTTCTCATTTTGTTTGGCTGGTCCTCTTTCTAGAATGCATGTGGTGGGATTATTTATTTATTTATTTAGTTATTTAGTTAGTTAGTTAGTTAGTTATTTAGTTAGTTAGTATTATTTTATGTTCATGGGTGTTTTGCTTGGACATATGTTTGTGCACCATATGCATGCCTGGTGCTTATGAAGTTCAGAAGAAGGCATTGGATGCCCTGAAACTGGAGTTATAGATGATTTTGAGTCATTATATTAGTGATGAGAACCAAACTCTGGTCCTCTGTAAAAGCTGCCAAATGCTCTTAACCAATGAGCAACTCTCCAGTTCCCAAGTGTTGCTTTGGCATGCAATGTCATTAAATAGTTTAGATGTACTAAGATTGATCTTTTATTACTGAATTACCCTATTCCTGTTTAGGTTAATTATATTTTCAGTCTCCCCTTGAGGAACAATAGAATCCTGTGGGAATAGCAGTGACCCTGTGTCATCCTCACAGTTTCCTATCCATCTTACATATAGACATAACTCTTGCCTTTTGGCATGCCTACCTTTCTTATGAACTCAGAATATATGTCTCCAGTCTTCCTCAGTTTGCCCCACAATTGTTAATCAAATCTCCATTTCTAAGTTGAGATATGTGGAGGCAGTAAGGCAGTGTTTGAAGATCTTTCCATACATCGAGGATAGGAAAGATAGTCACAGACCATATCTCAAGTGAAGGCTAACCTTGCACTTAATTCTAGAACAAGTGAATGGGACTCTCCAAGCTCTGAATTCTTCATTGATGACACCAATTAATCACTGCTGGGTTTTGCTTGATTTGATAATAGATGGTCATTATGTAGTAACAGGCATGCATGGTTTGGGTATATGTAGCAAATAAATTAGAGTGATGTGATCAAATGTACTCCAAATAATTTTAGCCCCCAAAGAAATTAAAAAGAGAAAAATGATATATGAAACAAACATGGGAACAAACTCAATAATTGTTGAAACTTGGTGAGGAATATGTAAGGGTTCATTTAAAATTTTATTTATCTTGTAGTTTATATCTAACAGTTAAAAGAAAATTTACCATCAGCTATTGTGTGCAAATGTCCCCATAATAGATGGGAAGATTCAGCTGTCCTTCACAGATGAGTGGATCTGGAATGTGCACAGGTGAAGTGTGCTTGGGAAATGCTTGTGAAAGTCCGAGCATGCTGTGAATTCATGGTTTGAAGGTGGATTTCATCTTGGCCATCTCCAGAGACCAATGCACTAAAATGGAATTTCCTAACACTTTGCCATACAACAGCAAGCTGCTGACAAGTGACACCAAGAAATGGATTCCACTGTCCTATGCACTTAAGAGGCACCTCCTCTTCCTGCACATTAGCACTTTAAGTGCTCTGCTCAGTCCCACTGGGACAAAGGACAATCACCTTGCTTTCTGACCCTGTTAATTTGAGAGATAAGGGAGAGATCCAGGCAGGAAGAAGAAAAGGAACTCACATAGGACCCCCACCCTCTTCAAAGGTATCTATCCTGGCATTGTGCTAAGTGACTTTCCTGATACCTACAAAAGATCTCATATTATGCATTTGCCAGGTTCTCTGTTCTCCCCTAACTGTAACACATGTAAGTCTCCCTTCAATAATTCATCTTCCTGTCATGCTGGGATCGCACATGAGTAAAGTCTGCATCATCATTTGTTCACAGCTGAGAGTTACCACCAGCAACTCTTTCACTAAAACTGCCTCCTACCAGTTTATGGGTGCTTAATGAGTGCTTGCAGGATAAATAGCTCTTCTATCTCATTTAATCCACAGGACAGTGATAAGAGACACCACTCTCTCAGTTTTATAGATGAGGGCCAAAAAAAAAAAAATGTGGAGATCTCTGGGGAAGAGTTTGTAGCCTTTCAAAGCTAGAAAGTGGTATATCTGGTATTGACAGTTAGTTTTGTTATCTCTTAAATGTTCTTGCATGGGACCTGGAGAGATGATTTAGTGAGGAAAAATACTTGCTATGCAAGCATAAGAACCTAAGTTCAGAGATCATCAATGTAAAACAGTGGGTATGGCCATTTTGATATGTACCTATGTCTTCATAGACAGGGTTACTACTGCTGTTATGAAACACTATGACCAAAAGCAACTTGGGGAGGAAATCAAGAGAAAGTATCAATCACATCTTCATTGGTGAATAGTTTTTAAAATGATCAGCCCTCCTCCAAAATTAATGCCTCAAATACACAAAAAGCCTTAACAGCTAAGGAAAAGACAGTGTACTAAAATGGATTATAGAAGAGAGAATTGGCATTAATGAAAAATTTGGGACTATCAAAATTAAGTTTACGTTTATTTAAGAATATTAAGCGAATGTTAGTTTTAATAATTGAACCATGTTTACAATTTTGATATTTTAGTACACAGACTAAAGAATATTGGATTTGTTTCTACTTTGCTCTTCGAATCAGAGTTCAAGCTGGCTTGGAACTTACTAGGCAACCATAAATGGCTTTCCTAATCTTGTTGCCATGCTTGGATTACAACCATGAGCCACTATCCTAGTTCATACAGTTCTGGAAATCAAACCCAGGGCTTTTGGCATGCTAGGCAAGCATTGTACCAACTAAGCCATATCTCCACCCCACTACTGGTATTAAAACCAATAATCAAGAGTTCATGACCATTACATTGATATCTTTTAATTTGGGAGACCAGAACAATTGCTGGGCTAAAATTAAAATGAGGCTAACACTGTCTTCCTTATGAAAATTCCCGGAGAGAGTTGTTTCTTTGGTACTTTTAAAATTGTAATGAAATAAAAGTTGCATCAATTTTAACATCTGGCTATTTTTAGGCATAGATGGTATAGTGTCTGTATTAAATTTACATTATTTTACAACCATTACCACTACCTATCTACAGAACATTTTCATGTTCCTATTCTGAAAATCTGTTCTCATTAAGGAACATGTTTCTGCCTTCCCCCACTTGTATAGGTTGTCCACATTCTTGACTCAGGATCCACTTCCATCTTCAGAGACAATAGTCTGTCTTCAGAGGCAATAATATAACATTGAATCTCTTTTGTTTTCCAACTTTCTTCTTTTTTCTGTAAGTATCTATGGCTTTAGCTGGACCCATCAGAAAAAAATACAGAATCATTTTCTCACCTCAAACACCTTAATCCAATCATAATTGCAAAAATCCTTTAGCCATGTAAGGTGCCATATTAACAAATTCTAGGGATTAGGGCATGAATATCTTAGACAAGAGATGATATTCCTCTTCCATGGTTATATACAATCTCCTGATATTAGTTTTACAGGTTTCCTGCATCATAACAAGAAGCTGGTGATTCTGCTGATGTCTCTCATTGACAGCAGAGTTAAATTCGATTCCAAAGGCCCTGGGCCAAGTGTGTCTCTCTGGAGGATACCTAGAAATCAAGGACAAAGTACTTACCTCTGAATCTTCTCTAATACATATTTGTCTTCACTAAAAACATATGATCTGTAGAATTTGCCTCACTTATTTTATCCCATGAAAACTGAGAAACAAGCCTACTTTGGAGACAAATACACCTGATGATTACTTACATAATTCTTAAATTTGTTATTAGTGGATAAAGAATCATCTGATGATGTTGTATTTCTGTTTCTTTTAGACTTATCTGCCACCACTTGAAGAGCACAGCTTTCTGACAACAACTGAAAGGCCCTGGGTAGTTTCTTGCAGCTCAGGATGACTAGGCCGATAAAAGTAACAGATTCAGGAAATGTATGTGCAACCATTCTTGCCAAGTGGTATTCTTCTCATGACCTGAACTAGCTCAAAAATGAATGTTTTCTTAGAAAAAGTTATTTGATTTGCAGTGAATGGTCAGCAGCTGAAAAACACAGGTGTCAGATAAGGTGAGGAGCCAACACATGGACAAAGACATCCTGTGAGACTTAAAAATATTAGAGGTGCTTTGTACAAATGATTGTCTATGGAGAAAAGAAGACAGCTTTTAAATGTTCATTTTTTTATTCTTATTAATAGAATCCAAAACAATATGGCAGGTGTAAGATAATAACAAGTGTTATACAGAGAAACACAGGGGCCGACCTTCACATGCCATCCCTTAGTACCATTAAACAAAACAATTTGTAGAAACGTGACATCACCCTCACTGGCCTGAATTTTTTTAATTTTCAAAAACAGATAATCATATGAAAGAGGATTAACAGAAAAATCACAGGAATATAAATAAAAGCCAGCTACCCAAAACAATAGAAGAAATCAAAATCTATACTTATATAACCTAGGAGAATCTACACCTAAGGATTAAACAAAAATCATACAGAGAGAGAGAGAGAGAGAGAGAGAGAGAGAGAGAGAGACAGAGAGCGAGACAGAGAGAGAAAAAGAGAGAGACAGAGAGAGAAAGACAGCAAGAGAGAGAGAGAGAGAGAGAGACAGAGAGAGAGAGAGAGAGACAGAGAGAGAGAGAGAGAGAGAGACCAACAGACAGAGACAGAGACAGACAGACAGAAATGTCGGCATATGGTCAAGGGGATTGATTTAAAACCTAAATCTTACCCAACTGTAGAGATAATTCTTTCCTAATATCCCCTCCTGCAAAACAAAGAGCTTCTAGAAACAAAAGGATTTGACCTCATTCCAAAGATAATGGTATCCTCTAAAGAAAAGGTGTCCCCAATACAAATGTGGCAATTTCTGAAGGAGAAGCTATAGATTGAAGCAATGATGAAGTTTATGAGTAGATGTTGAGAAAGAAGGAGGATTTATTAAAGGAAACACAGAGGACAGAAACACCGAAGAAACTTCACCTACCAAGAAAAGCCTCAGTTTGGCAACTGAGGTGTCTGGGAACTTGTTTCCTTTCCACAAATCCAATAAAGAAGTTAGTCTATATACATACCTCTCCTATTCACAGAGAATCTGTGGCCAGTGAAGAAATTCTTGTTCAAAAATCAGACTTTCACTCAACAAGATTCATTAAATTCGGTGTCTTGTCAAAGACGCTGTGGATTAAGGAAGATGAAGGTATAGTCAATTGAGATAAATGGGTAGTAAATAGGTAGGAGAAAGCCAGCACTCCATTTTAAACATGCTATTGTGACTATGAGAAAATACCAAACATCGAGTCTGTTAAAAATGGGACTATTTTAAATTCTCATCTCAAAATCAAAATCTCTCTCAGTGTAGGTCAAAATCAAAATACAAATATATAGTGCTTTTACAAAACACCACCCAAATCAAATGAATCTGAAACATTAACATTAAAAGGTTATGCTGGCTGTCCACAAGTAAATACAACCCCAGAGCAGCTATTTCTGTGTCAAAGTAGAAGTCAAGGCAAAAATGCATTAAGTGGAGAAAAGGTTACTTCCCACAGATAGGAAGGACAGCCCATAATGAAGACCTAGCAATCACGAACCTTTGGAAATGAATCAGATAGCATTCACGGCATAGAGCAACCACCAGTAGGGAGGCAGCTGCAAACTGACAGTAGCAACTGCAGTAGAAGGCTCTTGGAGCTACGAAATATCAGCTAGTTCAAGTAAGCCCCAAACAAATGCACAAGGAAGGAAATAAACAAGCAAACAAATAAATAAGGATGCAGAGGCTTCACAAGGTGCAATGAATATGCACAGGGGATTTTTATAGCATGCACTTCAGACATTAGTCTTAACCTGCTTCCTCTTTTCTCCTGTCTTACATACTTGTCTCCCCTTCCCACTTTCTGCTTCCACTTCATTTTCTTGTGAACTTATTCTCAAAGGAAACAAGAAAACTGATGTGTGTATGTGTACATGTCTAAGTTACTTCAAATTCCTTCAGAATGATGGCGGGTGTAAATAAATAGTCAAATAAGAAAAGTGTTTGAAAGCTGGGAGGAAATAATTCTCACCAAAGGAGGTGTGAGAATGAGATGCAGACCCCAAGAGGCTTCTTGGCCCTTGCCGCCAGCAGCACAGCCCCAGCTGCGGAGTGATGGGTCGAGAACTTGTGACCCTGATATTTCTACTCCCAAGACAGCTTGCCTTGGCCACTGCTGGGGTTTTCCACACCATAGGCCTTTAGCTTCTGCTTGGAAGTGGAGTATTTTACTACTTCACATTTGGTTCCCTTTATTCCTTCTCATATTCGAGTTTCATGGGTATCTTTTAGAGATTGTGAATGGTCCTTTTCAATCGAACATCTTCCTGAGTGAGACCTGGGAAGGTTTGGGGTGGTGAAGGTGGACAACTGCAAGATCTGGGGGGCAGCATTCTAAAATACTGTCCCGACTTGGGACACTGATCACAAACTGGCACATACCAAGGGTTTGGCTGAGAAATGCCACTCACAAACTAAGGGGTTCGAATAGCTCCTCCCCAGTGGTGGCAGTTTGGAGAGGTTGTGGAATCTTCAGGAAGTAAGTAGCAGCTGGTGGAAGCATGTGACTAAGGTCGGATTACAGAGTATGGCTTACCCCTGATCACTGCCTGAGTTTCTGCTTCTCAACTACTGCTGAAAAGTGACCAGCTGCAGGTTCCCACAGCAAGGCCAGAACCCCAGGTACCACGCTTTCCCATCATAAAACCCTGAGCTCAGATGAACTCTTCCTTTAAGGTGCCTCTTCTTGAGTATTTGAAAAAAACAACAAAAAAAAAAGTAACCAATACAGAAGGGTTCTCAAAAAACACTCTTATGTTTAGGTATTTATTGATCAAGACTGGGTAAACTCCCTGAAGCTGCTATATTCAAGATTAGGGTTTAAGAAGAGGACAAGATAGAATGAACAAGCTAAGCAATGTAGCATGCAGGGTAGCGTCCAGGAGGCATATGAGGCACAGAACTGCCTCTCTATAAGGAGCCAGGGCACTGCCTCTCTCTCAGCAATTACATGTGAATACTAACACACACACACACACACACACACACACTGTGGTGGTTTGAATAGGTATGGCCCCCAGAGACTCACGTGTTTGAATGCTTAGGCTTTGAGGTCTTATATGCTCAAATTACACCTAATGTGACACAGCTTTCTTCTGCTACCTATAGATCAAGATATATCAACTCCTTCTCCAGCACCATGTCTGCCAGAACACTGTCATGTCTTACCATGATGATAATGTACTAAACCTCTGAAACTGTAAGCCAGCCCCAATTAATTGTTTTCCTTTATAAGTGTTGTCATGGTCATATATGATCTGTATAGTTGATCTGAGTCTCCAGCACCTCTAGAAATTGGTTTACAGAGTCCCTACCATATATTGTCAGGATTTTCTAACTCTGTGATTATCAAATATGACAAGATCCCACCCTAACTCATAGTATTACACTCTTAAGCATATTCAATGTCCCCCCCCCCAAAAAAAAAGAAAGTCCCTGTCAGGCATGGTGTTCCAAAGATTTTGAAATAACTTTTCAGAATTTGGAATTCAAGGACAGTGGTCAGACATCTTGGTATCATGAAATTCTTCACCATGCACAAGTGCTAGAACTCCAGTGTAGGAGACACATACATATGGGGAAGTGAAAGAGGTGGAGAACAGAAAACATAAAAGTGAATACTGAGGTCACTAGCTGGTGTTTACAATGCTCTTTTATGCATTAGACATCGTCTTGCCATTTAATAAACCAACTCTTGAAGGAAGCAGGTACAAATGGGGGCCAAGGAACCACGTGGTCAGTGTATGTTAATGCTGAAAAGTGACTCTTTCCTCTGCTGCCTCCAGTCTTAATGGAGGAAAATTAAAAGTAATGAAGAGCATAAACAAGACTCAAAATTTTACTCCATGTGGCTTTGAATAGCTGCTTTTAGAGTGAAAATCCAGGAAGGTAGGGATTTGAATCTGTTGTTTTCAGAAGCTGTCTTCAGCACTGAGAAGACTGAAGTACAAAGAAATCGCTCAATAGATGTCATCTAAATGAAACTTAACTATGCCCCTTTGTCTAGTGACATAGGTAGAAAATATATCTACCTTGCAGAGATATTATAAGAAAGAATAAATAATGCAGCAAGGTTGCTGACAACAAGTAAGTGCTCAATAAATATAGGAATTGCAAGCAGTAGCACTAACATCATTATCAAGCCCACCATAACAACAGGCTCAGGCATTTGTGGGAGTGCTATGTCTTAGTGAGTTTTCTGGGGCTGTAACAGAGTACTAAGAATGGGTGATTTATAAACAATCTACACTTACCTGGCTCATAATTCTTAAGTCTAGTGCTTACAAGATTGAGGAGATGAACTAAAATGGCAAGGTCCTTGTGGCTGTGCCAATACATGAGGGGAGGGCCAGGGCACGTAAGAGATAAATAATTGAACTGAACTCAACATTTGATCAGAAATCGGATTTCAAGATAACTCAGTCTTATGCTAACCATGTTAATCCATGTCTGTCCTCATGGCCTAATTAACCACTTCCTTTTGGAAAAAAAAATACTTTTTTTGAGATTATAATATAATCACATCATTTAAGCCCTTGCATCTTGCTACTACCATCATGACAACTAAATTTCAACTTGAAGTTTGGAAGGTGCCTGTTAAAAAAATGGAACAGGCATCTGATTGGTGTGAGGCTTTCACACTCCACAGAGCAGAATCAAGGCAGAGTATTCCAGGAATGTTCAAGGCTGACTCCACAGCACAGCATTCCTCTCTGGCAATCTGTGCTTCAGACAACTTATTTATTTATTGTTCTGTTCTGTTCCTTTCTTCATGTCTTAATTTTCTTTTCTGTTCTGGTCATCAA